TGGACGGTCAGAAGCTGCAGGGAGCTGTGTTGGACGGTCAGAAGCTGCAGGCTGCTGTGTTGGACGGTCAGAAGCTGCAGGCTGCTGTGTAGGACGGTCAGAACCAGATGCCTGCCGTGTTAGACTGTCAAAATCAGCATATAGTGGGCAGTGATGGCCGAAACCAGCATCGCAATCATGTGGGTCAGAATCATCGTGCACATCCACCTGTGCGGAATCATCTCGCTCCAAACCAATGTCACGCCAATCTGACATGATTTTTTCCACCCAAGACCAGTCCATAGCTTCCAATATGCGCTCCTTGCTTCCACGTCGCACCCTGGTCCGCTTACGGACCCGTGTCTTGATGGTACGAACAAGTCGAGAAACTGTATGGTTCCAGTGCAGAACAGACAGTCCAACTCTTGGCACCATACTCCCTTGAAAGCGAATACGCTTCGGGGCGTATTTGATGACAAGGGAATGAAAGGATTCGTTGACCCAGTTGGAGGCCCCGCTCACATACGCCTCCATCTCCTTCGGAGAACAATGCGTCTCCAACCACTTCCGCAATGCCAAATGAGCGGATGAGTTCGGTTCGTACACGGCATTCTCTGGGCCCCACTTCTCGGAAACACACCTTGCAATTTCCACCCCATTTCCACACTTGGAGTGAAGCCCAGCCCAATGGTCAGCTGACGTTGCTAGCACCTGTGCAACAACACTAGCTGATGGTGTATGGCCGGCAGCCGCTTTAGTTGAAGAGCGAAGCATGACGTGATTGAAGTGAGTACCCCAACGTTGTGCAAGTGACACTTCAACAAAATCCACGTCATCTTCATCATCGGCTGCAAGCGCACCACGCTTCCGCTTCCCACTGCCCCGTTCTGTCCATCGTGGGGTGGCAGCCACACTCTCATGGGTTTGAGGGGCCACAGTTGGCATGGTGCTTTGAGATTCCAGCAGCCCCTCAGCATCAGCGGTATCCTGATGGTTCGCCTCATCTGCAAGAAGTCAAATAACAAAGAGACATAAGACTAAATGTTATCTTCACAGCAAACTGTACTTGTCGTGGTTCAGATGAGTTGTTGAGCTTACCGTCCAAGGTCTGATCTTGGTCGGTCAAATTCCCATCGTCATCCACTTGAGACACCATTGTGTCAGCAGTCATGCGCACATAGTCAGCTTCGGCCGTTGTTGGAACACCATGGATAGGGTGTGGGTCAAATTCCCACAGTTCGGGTCCATCATTCCATCCAATGTCAATCACGTGATGTGCAACACCCATCGTGCCATGCAAGTTCTCCACAGCACCCTGTCTCGACCTCTCAACGCCTGCACGTTCAGGTTCGGACCCCACGCCATTGGTGATTTCAACTGGCACGTGCCCAGAGATCCGTAGGGGGTCACTTCCAGAGACATTTATTGAAACGACACCTGGCTGGTTCCGCTGGACGTTCTCATCATTGGACACCAGAATTGGTACTTCCACATTTCCGGCGTTCCTCTCCCCACAACCCAACAGCGTGTGCTCTGCGGCGCCTCCGTGGACGATCTTCAGGCGCTTGGCCACGGGAGCTCGTGTTGCTGCCCCGTTCTCCCTAACGCGTAAAACTCTCCGCAACTCGGGGTACAACCAGATAGACGTCGCTACTGCTTGTGGATCATACACAAACTTGCCAAGCTTTTCACACACGGCTTTGATGAGATCTGCTTTCCCAGAAGTTGCACTCAAACCTTCTTTTGGAGTACTGTGCTCTTTCGGCCATGTGAAGAGCACCACTCTTGAACACAGCCAAAGATCGCCAGTGCAAGTGGCAGATGCGACCTTCATTGCCGGCCGCTTTGCATCAATCAAATCTTTTATGAACTTACGTGTCAATGCTCGGCCCTTATGCCACACGTCCTTCTGGTGAGCAATTCCTAATCCCTCGATCTCTGACTTGAATGATCCCCCATCATCAGAAATGATCCCCTTGACCTGGAAACACATCGCCCATAACTGGTTAAGACCGTCTTCGAAAGCACGCAGCTCCAAAGCTGTTGAAGAAACCTTCTCTACTGCCTTCCACTTTGTCACCACAAGGGCTATTTTGCGGGTGATTGGGTCAATGAAGGAAACAGTGCACCATTCAGCTTCACGCGGATGAGACCAGCGTCCGTCCACGCACAACCACTCCCCTGGAATAGTTCTCTTGCTCATTTCTGCTCGAACCTCAGCCATTGACATCTCTGCTGCCGTCTCTATTGCCTTCTACAACCCAAGGGGCCCTCTCATGTACCTATAGAACATCTCCCTTCCAAGACATGGGAGACCAAGGGAACGACTTACTTCCCATAATTGTTGGTAACCAATGCCCGCCATTGCAAACGAAGCTATATATTTGGGAAGGAAAAGAGAGGATTGAGGGCCCTTTTTACTCCCCTTACCTGTTGTGTTGCCTCGCTTTGTGGACCAAAAGTGCTCGACTTTGCCGCACTTGTCACATGACCATTCAAGGCAAAAGCATGCCCAGAGTTGCTTCCAGGACTTGAGGACCATTTTTCCCTTACATCCAGAGCCTGTGCTGCAGCATACGCTCAATGTGCTGAAAAAACTGATGAGCTGCCGAGGGTCCAGCAAGCATACCAATCCATTGGGCATTGGACGCGTGGTTGAGGAAATTGGGTTGTCCGGTGACACCTCCGGTGCGTTGTCCATCTGCTCTGCTCTCCTGCTGATAGATGCAAAGTATGGAGAGAGCACCAAGGCGCAAATAATGAACCAGTCCATCCCAAGACAAACGAGTAGTGGTGTGAAAGATATGGAACCCCCCCTACTTGGCATGCGTTTCTTCACTAGCCGGGCCTGGTGTACAACCGCATGTTGTCGGCCCATTGATTTGAGGTGTTTTCCGAGGGCCCACCATTAGCCTGACGTTCGCCAACCACCACATCTTCAACAGCCTGTTGAAGTCCCCCACTCCCATCTCCAATCCCCTCCAATACACCGCCCACATCTGTCAATGCTCTCGAGGTTGCATGGCTGTTCAGGACAGGCTCGTCGGTGTTCCCCTCGAGCTGTGCTTCGTCATTGGCCTCGACATGTGCACCTGCAAACGCAACGCACTTGTCAATCCCGATCAACTGCTGTGACGATGTTATTGCTGGGTTTACCAGCTGCTGGTCGCCCACCTCATTTTCGCCCCATATTGCAAGGTCCTACCTGAAGCTTTTAAAGCCTCGTAGTTCACACCCTTTCTTGATCCTCCATGATGAAATCCCTTATCCGGTACTACCCGCCCCTTTTCATCTTTCTTGTACGTCAGTATTTGATACTCAAAGTCAAGTGCACAACGGGGGCTCAAGCGGCATCACAACTCCTGCAGCAGCACTCAGGCGCTGGTTTTCATGCTCCGATTGCAAGCAGCAACATGAGCTCTGGTTTATACCTCCTATGGCAAGCGGGGAGGTAACTACTGGTTTCCATGCTCCGCTTGCAAGCAACAATATGAGCTCTGGTTCCATGCTCCACTTGCAAGCAGCAATATGAGCTCTGGTTTCATGCTCCGCTTGCAAGCAACAATATCAGCTCTGGTTTCATGCTCCACTTGCAAGCAACAATATGAGATCTGGTTTCATGCTCCGCTTGCAAGCAGCAATATGAGCTCTGGTTTCATGCTCCGCTTGCAAGCAGCAATATGAGCTCTGGTTTCATGCTCCGCTTGCAAGCAGCAATATGAGCTCTGGTTTCATGCTCCGCTTGCAAGCAGCAATATGAGATCTGGTTTCGTGCTCCGCTTGCAAGCAGCAATATGAGCTCTAGTTTCATGCTCCGCTTGCAAGCAGCAATATGAGCTCTGGTTCCATGCTCCGCTTGCAAGCAGCAATATGAGCTCTGGTTTCATGCTCCGCTTGCAAGCAGCAATATGAGCGGTGGTTTATACACTCACCTTTCTTGGAAGCATCGGTCTCTATATGGGCTTTCCACCTCCTAAGCCCCCTTACGCGTAGTGGGAGACCAACGACCCACCCACCTGCTTGTTCCGCAGCAGCAAACAGTTTTGCCACAGCTTCTCCAGCCTCCGATGCGAGCACATAGAGCACGTCATTAGCACTTGCGACATAATCTCCCCCTCTAAGAGCCGTCAACCCACATCGCATCATCGCCATGGGAATCAGCATGTGCGTTTCAATGGTCACGTTACGTTGCTTTATTGTATCCAAGATGGGCTTGAAGCACGGTGGTCTGGAGTCGCATGCATGATTTGTGGCATTGGTTGTATCCGTATCCACAGCCACCTGGAGTGTCATAATGTGTTTTGGGATGTGGATTTGACATGGAATTTGGGATGGTACACAGGAGAGACAAACGGGTTTGGTGAGAGGAGACCAGAGCCACTCTATGAAGGGACAAAGAGGGGAGACATCCCAGGTTGGGCGAGAGGACAGGGAGGGGGGGAAAGTGGGGCATGTGAGGTCCGCACGGGAGGGGAGACAAGTGGGACATATGAGAGGAGCAGGGAGGGGAGACAAGTTGGGCAGATGAGAGGAGTAGGGAGGGTAAACACGTGGGGCAGATGAGAAGTCAGGTGAGGGGAGACAAGTGGGGCAGATGAGAGTAGGGAGGGGATACAAGTGGGGCAGATGAGAGGAGCAGGGAGGGGAGACACGTGGGGCAGATGAGAAGTCAGGTGAGGGGAGACAAGTGGGGCAGATGAGAGTAGGGAGGGGAGACAAGTGGGGAAGATAAGAGGAGCAGGGAGGGGAGACACGTGCGGCAGACGAGAGGAGCAGGAACGGGAGACAAGTGGGGCATATGAGAGGAGGAGGGAGGGGAGACAAGTGGGGTATATGAAAAGTGAGGAGTGGGGATACAAGTGGGGCAGATGAGAGGAGGAGGGAGGGGAGACAAGTGGGGCAGATGAGAGGAGAGGGGATGGGAAACATCTGGGGCTGATGTGAGGAGAGACAATTGGATTGGATAAGAGGAGAGCGAAGGGGAGACCGGTGGGGAAGATGAGAGATGAGGAGAGGGAACACTAGTGAGGGAAGGAATGTGAGCGTGGAGGGGAGTATTGCGAGCGCAAGGGGGGGAATGCGAGCGTGGATGGGAGGAATGTGAGTGCAGGGGGGGAGGGGAAGAATGTGAGCGTGGAGAGGGAGGGGAGGAATGTGAGTGCGGAGGGGAGGAATGTGTGCGCGGAGGGGAGGAATATGAGCGAGGAGGGGAGGAATGTGAGCGAGGAGGGGGAGAGGAGGAATGTGAGCGCGTAGGGGAGGAATTCGAGCGCGTAGGGGAGGAATTCGAGCGCGTAGGGGAGGAATTCGAGCGCGTAGGGGAGGAATTCGAGCGCGTAGGGGAGGAATTCGAGCGCGTAGGGGAGGAATTCGAGCGCGTAGGGGAGGAATTCGAGCGCGTAGGGGAGGAATTCGAGCGCGTAGGGGAGGAATTCGAGCGCGTAGGGGAGGAATTCGAGCGCGTAGGGGAGGAATTCGAGCGCGTAGGGGAGGAATTCGAGCGCGTAGGGGAGGAATTCGAGCGCGTAGGGGAGGAATGTAGGAATGCAAACGCGGAGGGGAGGAATGCAAACGCGGAGGGGAGGAATGCGAACGCGGAGGGGAATGCGAACGCGGAGGGGAGGAATGCGAACGCGGAGGGGAGGAATGCGAACGCGGAGGGGAGGAATGTTGGCGGACGCGGCGGTGCCCCACTCCAAGGCATGGCGGGCCAACGAGGGGGGACGCGGCGCGGGCACAGGTATCCCGTGGCTATGCAACATTGACACTCGTACGAATACTTTTTATTCTTCGAGCCTAGTTTTTTTTCCGTCGCATCGATCCGACGGAGCGCGGTCAAGATTATCTACTGATTTGATGTGCCTTACATTGCGCCTTCTATTACGGCGACGAGACCTCATTGCAGACGACCCGGCGAATGCGGATTCAACCTACGGTACTATCCTACGCAATCTTGCTCCTCCAAAGCGTTATCCTGTCAATGTAGGCTTCCGTGAAATGTCTGCTAGTGATGCACGAGGCGGGAAAAGGTGCTGCTGGGGGTGATTGAGCTTGCCGTGGTAATTGCTGCTAGCGTGGCATTTCAATCGTTCTCTGCTAGTCACCTCACATTGGTGGTGTTCTCTAGGCACTGGCGAGCGGGGAGCGAGGGGAAATAGGAATCTTCCCCTATCTGCCTTTTTTGGTCGAGACGTCGGTCAGCCCGTAAAATCGTGCCGAGCCTCCTATTTGCCCTCCGAAGGTAAATGCCAACAGAACGCTCATTTACCCTCAGGGATGTGCACCCCTTGGAAGCTGCACATTTACCCTCCCCACCTTCCTCCTCAGGCAAATTTTGCCCCCCCTCGCCCCCCATTCCGGCAACCACTCTTCACGGGGAAGTGGGACAGCCACACGAGGGAGGAGCTGGGGGAGGGAAAACGACGTTCTGCCTGTGAAACTAAAGACTGCGTGACTGCACGCCCCACACACACGCGCAAGAACCAGAAAGATAAAAAAAACCACGTCCCCTCCAGTGAGGTGTTTGTTCCTGGTGAGGTGTTTGTTTACGAGAAGGAGTCACCCTGGACTTTGTTTGTACCCCTTATTGCCTGTTCCCGCCAAATGCGATACCCCCGTCTCTGGACCAGGAAAATGTACCCACAGGTTCTTCATTTACCGTCGGAGCCTTCCCCACCTCGCGCACGAAATTTCTCGTCTTCGGTTGTAGCGGGAGGTGGAGAAATCGAGCCCCGAAACACCCTCGGAACCATCATCATTTACATTCGCCCCCCCACCTCCCCCGCCCGCAGGAGTCACCAGAACACCACCATTCTGTCTCAAGTTGGTTTGCTGATGTTTTGCATTTGACATTGCTGGCCTGGCGACTCTTTCCGTGGTTGAGGTCGCCCGAAGTCGCAAAATAGGCTTCCTGGGCTGGTTTGGTGAGGTGACCAATCAAAATGCATCACAACCCAACCTGTCACTTCGGTGCAAATAACATGGTAACCAGCCGTCAAGTGTTTTGCAGCTATGTTGCAAAATACGCGTTTCACGTACCAGTCGCGTACGTACTGTACGCTCACGTACGTACGTGATACGGGCGATTTCAGCCCCACGATACGCTCGAAATACGGTCGCCCGGGCAGGTGAAAAAAAGTTCCGGGCAGGGAAAAAAAGTATGGGGGGGTGAGTCACGCTGCCTATGTTCATTTTGACCTTGTGCAGTTGGTTTTTTCCCGACGTATGAAACTTTTTTTCCCCATTACAAACATGCATTGCAAGTACACACATACTAGCAACTACTTCCCCTAGGGCCCTACTCCCCTACTCCCCTACTCCCCTACTCCCCTTCTCCCCTTCTCCCCTACTCCCCTACTCCCCAAACCTTCATCTGCTTCTCCTCCTCTACTCCTCTTGCATGCCCAGCTCCTGAACCACTTACACTGCAGCTGCTGCCGTTCTTACTTCACGTACTCATCGGCCAGCACGCCTTCATCCTCCTCCCCCTCCTCCTCCTCCTCCTCCTCCTCCTCCTTGTTGTATCCCTCCGGCAGAGCGGGTTCAGGCATGTTGCCCGGAAGCACCGCCAATGACTCACCCATCTTGTGGTACTTGTGGACCACACGCCAGTTGTGGGTCACATAAACTAGGTCTCGGAGCTTCTCCGAGCCTAGCCTGTTGCGGCGGGCAGTGTGCACCGATTCGAATGATGCCCACCCGCGCTCACACGGCGACGCCGACACCGGCTGTGTCAGGGCACGGCACGCAAGGCTGGCCAGGTGGGGGTGGTCAGTCCCGTGCCATCCCCACCACGCCACCATCGACAGCTTGCCTGCCTTCAAGGCCTCCCTGTCGGCAATTGCCTCAGGAAGGCCGAAGGAACCATCAAGGGTGAGGAAGGCCGTGAGCCCCTCCTGCAAAACAAGAGAGGCACGCCTCTCCTCACCATCCTTGTTGGTGAACGTCTTACCGTCGTAGTGACGTGCGATGAAGGCCTTGAAGATGCGGGTACATTCCATGTCGTTGCGGAAAATACCCTCCTCCTGATTTGCCGGGTTGAGGATCCGCCCCACGACGTGAAGAGCGCACGCAAGGCTCTCGTCTCAACGGCGCCGAACAATCTTCCCAATGTCAGTCGCAACCGCCCGCGGCAAGATCTTCTCCCCCGCTTCCAGCTTGTCGTTCACGTCCTCGGTCAGCTGGAGCATTAGGTCGTAGATGGTCCCCATCATCCCTTTGGCGCTGCTGTCCGTGGCGCGCATCACCTTGAATGGAATTGCCAACAGCTCCGCCAGGTACGCAGCGTTCTTCCACCAGGCGTCGTCCATGACTTGCCCGCGGAATGTATCCGCCGTCGTCTTCCTAGCCCCCGCCGACTAGTTGGCGAACTCCTCGCTCAGCACCATCTGCGACAGCGTGGACCGCAGCTCGACGAGCCTGGAGAGGGCGATGTAGTTGGTGCCGAACCTCGTCCCCGCCGGCTTCACAAGCTGCTTCCCCTTTCCTCCCTTCACCTTCTTACTCCTCAGGTAGTTGCGGGTGAAATGGTGGTTGCGCACGTAGGTGGTCATGTCCCCGCACTGATCCACAATGTCCTTGCACCACGTGATCTTGCCCACGTCCTCCAACAGGAGGTCGAGTACGTGCGTAGCGCACGGCACGTACTCGATGTGGGGCCAATCCGCCATCAGCTCCTTGCAGGCGGCACCGTAGTTGGATCCGCCGTCCATGCAAAGTGCGACCACGTTTTGGGGCCCCACTTTCTCGATGATGGGGCGGAGGAGCGACGCGATGTAGCCGCCGGTCTTGGACTCCATGTTGCAGTCGATAGCCTCCACGAACACCGCTCCTGAATCGTTGACCAGCATGACGTTCGCCTGCGGCCTCCCGCACCGATCGGTCATCAAGTCGGAGGAGACGGTGACGCCATCCCTCTTCCAGCTCGCGGCGATTGGCTGAAGCCCCTTCTCGATGCTCGTGCGGCACTGCTTCAGACCAGCTCCTCCGATGTAGTTCCGTCGCGGCGCAAGGTAACCGTGGGGTGCGTTGTTAATGGCCCTGACCATGTTGCGCCACAACGGGTTGTCGGCGTGGTGTTCGGGAATGCGACAGCCGGCGAAGAACAAACTGACGGCGTAGTCCGCCTCGCCCTTCTTGCACTGCGCCTCGTCGCCGATGAAGTCGGTGATGCGTCCTCTCTTCGCACCTCCCACGACAGCATTGAGCGCAGCATCCTCGGCCCGCCGTTTCTCGTCGCGGTTGGACGCCTTCTTCTCGTAGTGCGCGGCCACCGCCGCTCGCACGTCGGCCGGAACCTTAGCGCACAGGCGGACGTCGCGAGAGCGCTGTCCCTTCCATTTCGCGAGATGCTGAGCACATCGGAACGCACCACCCTTGAACTCCTTGGAGCAATACTTGCAAACGCGGATAGTCCCGACTGTGTCGGGACGGATGGGAACCTTGAAATGCTTGAAGACGACATGCGTACTATCCTCCTCCAGCCATTGCGCCTCCGAAGTCGAGGCAGAAGGATCGGTATGCTGAGTAGACGGACCAGAAGGCTGAGTGTGGTTAGAAGGGACTGGAGTAGACATAGCTCAACACTGAACTGAACAGGAATGAGAGATGTGTTGTGGTGGGGTCAATTATACCTACCACGAATTGGTTGTGGGGTGGGGGACGTGCTCTGGTTGGTCACGAGTTGTTGGGGGTGATTGGGCATTGTTGAGTTTCGTGGGGTGAACGTGGCGATTCGGTTTTGCACGTCCACAGGTTGGAAAAACGCGACCCGAAATGTCGGAATACGTGCGTACGGAAAAAGCGCGAACTTTTTTTTTTTTTGGGAATTTTTTTTGCCCTGCCCGAATTCACGTATCGCGTATTTGTCCCCGTTTCACGTTTTCTCGTTTATACGTGAACGCATATACGCGATACGTTAAATTTCAAAAGCGTATAGTGCAACATAGTTTTGCAGTTGACCACAATTTCCGGTACTTGAGATCCTGGCTTTAAGAAGAAAAAACAGCCGTGCGATTGGCTGGTTAGGCACTGGGAACTACAGACGACTTGTTGGGGAAGGGGTCTAACTAAAATCGCGATATGAAAATGGACCCGCCAGATTTCACATTTCGAAATTTGTATGCCACCCCAATGTCGCGACGAGTTTTCCGTAAACTCGTCGAGTCCAAAAAACTCGTCGAGTCTAGAAAAAACTCGCCTAGGGGGCCGAGCCTAGACCGAGTTTTAAAAAAACTCGGCGGGTAAAACTCGACTCGGCCCGGTCGAGTTTTTCAAAGGGTTATCACACTCGACACTCAACCAGTACCGAGTCCCCCGATCGAGTCGAGTTTGGAAACTCGACTCTTTGCCCGTGTCTAGGGGGAACTCACCGTGGCAATCATGCGGGAGTGGAAGGGGGGCATGCCAAGATGTGTTCACATGCGGTATACAACACATAACCTTGTACAGAATTGTATGGTGTTTCCACACCCCCCCCCCCCACCCTCCCCCTCCCCCCCCCCCAACCACGCCCTCCCGAGCCGAGTTTTACTCGGCTCGACCGAGTGCAAGGAAAAAGCTTGGCGAGTTTTTCAAAACTCGAGCTCTTATTTAGGCGAGTCACGAGTCCAGCATCATGAGAAAAAAGCCCGGCCGAGTTTCCCCCGACTCGAGCTCGAACTCGGTCGAGCTCGAGCCAAACCGAGTCGAGTTTTACTCCAATATATCATGCCTGAATTGTCACACAACAGCCCTGAGATGGAGACACAGTCAGCCACGTGTAAAAAGAAGTGTTTTGAAACGTCCCAAAACACATCATGGACTGAACGTCATCACACTTACATTGAATATATCATGCCTGAATTGTCACACAAGAGCCCTGTAAATTATCCTGCAGGCTTGTGTCTATTCAGGCTCTTACATCGAATACATCATGCCTGAATTGTTACACAGGAGCCCTAAGACGGAGACGCTGTCAGCCACGTGTAAAAAGAAGTGTTTTGAGACGTCTCAAAACACATCGTAGACTGAACGTGATCGCACTTACATCGAATATATCATGCCTGAATTGTCACACAAGAGCCCTGAGATCGAGACACAGTCAGCACCCACAGCCCAACCTTGGGCCGCCTTTCCACATGCCTTCTGACAGTCCTTGAGAAACGGCGCTGAGAGTTGGGAACAGGACGGGAGAGAGAGACAGAGGCATATACAGAAGAGTCATCGGGTGAGGGAACAGTTAGCAGCCTTGGACAGCCTTTCCCCATGCCTTCTGGCAGTCCTTGAGAAACGGCGCTGAGAGTTGGGTTGGGGGACAGGGGAGGAGCAAGGAGAGAGTGAAAGCCAGCTTGAGTCAGACACTCGAGACACAGTCAGCACCCACGGCCCAGCCTGGGAGCGTCTCTCCCCATGCCTTCTGACAATCCTTGAGAAACGGCGCTGAGAGTTGGGTTGGGGCACAGGAGAGGAGAGAGAACGAGACCCCAACATTGCCACAGTCAGCACCCACAACCCAGCCTTGGGCCGCCTTTCCCAATGCATTCTGGCAGTCCTTAAGAAAAGGCGCTGGGAGTTGGGTTGGGGGACAGGGGAGCAGCAAGGAGAGAGTGAAAGCCAGCTTGAGTCAGACACTCGAGACACAGTCAGCATCCACGGCCCAGCCTTGAGCCGCCTTTCCCCATGCCTTCTGGCAGTCCTTGAGAAACACAGCTGACAGTTGGGAATAGTAGGGGAGATGGAGACAGAGGCACACAGACGAGGAAAGTTCCTTCCAGCTCTAGCACTAAAGACCAGGGGTAACAGAACAAACTACCCGGCTCAGAAGTACCCAGATCTGCAACACCATCCGAGGGGGCAATGCTGCCTGAACCCGATTTGGGAGGGGATCTTCATTTGGGGCCGTACATAGCAGCAAGGTGCAAAAACGGTTTTCGTAAATTACGATCCGTTTTTTACGGTCCGTTTTTTACGGTAAATTTCCAAAAATACGGCGTTTTTTTGTTAGAGAACTCATTTCACCAAGGAAAAAAAGGCTAAAACAAGGCCGGATACATTTTCAATCATGCCCATGCATACACACATGCAAAGAGGGGTTCCTCCTCTTCATCCTGGTGATTTTCGCCATCAATTTGGTCACATGAAATGGCCGATTTCTTCTTCAAACGAAAATCACCTTCTGGAACCGTTTTTTACGGTCTGTATTTTACGGTACCGTTTTTTACGGTAAATTGTCAAAAAAACGACGTTTTTTTTAACCTTGCATAGCAGCCCAGTAGAAGCAGGGCGCAGGCACCTGCTGGCCCAATCAGAAGTAGGGCTCAGACAGCTGCTGGCCTGGATCAACACAACCGCGGCCCATCAGAGAGCACACTTGCTCATGCCCCTCACTCATGTCCCCACTCATGCCCGACGTAGGCGAGCACCTACTCGCTTCACCACCCCCACGTGGGCGAGCACCTACTCGCTTCACCACCCCCACGTGGGCGAGCACCTACTCGCTTCACCACCCCCACGTGCGGGAGCACCTACCTGTGCTATATTGAACTCACTTTCGAGAATTCTCAAAAGTGATTTCAACAGGCGCCGCTGCTCTGCTTACCGCCTCGCGACTGCTCGCGACCAAACCGGAGGGAGGGACGCGGCCAATTGCAGTCACTGCACCGACTCATCGCTACGGCCGTGCTGCTCCCCCCCTGCACGTTGGTTCAATGCCCCGCTCCAATTCGGCGTGACGACCCCCAGTGGGGCGGAAGCCGTCACCCCTCTCCCTTGGCGCTGCATGACTTTTGAGGCACCTTAAAAGTAGTCTTTGCCCCGCTCTAATTCGCCGTGACGACCCCAAGTAAGCGGAAGCCGTCACCCCTCTCCTTTGGCGCTGCAGCTCTGCTGGGGCCTCCAGCGAAGTGCAACGCCGCCTTCCAGACCCTCACAACGTGCTTACCACCCCTGGGCCTCACCCACAACGTGCTTACCACCCCTGGGCCTCACCCACAACGTGCTTACCACCCCACGGCCTCACTGCACACACAACCCCGGATAGTGCGCATGCCGTCTGGTCCCCGTTCCACCATGACCACGCCCCCCCCTTCTCCCCCCCCCCCCCCCCCCCCCCCCCCCCCCCCACAAGGCGTGCCCTTCAGGCTTCAGCGAGGGAGGCCTGTGCGTCCTCGCCAGTCCCGTCGGCCCGCCCGCAGCCTGCTCTCTGTTATCAGTCCCCGCAGCCCGCAGTCTGGCCTGTACGTCAGCTCCTCCCTTCAGCTCCTCCCTTCAGCCACATCCCCAACAAGGTGACTTCTGAGTCGACTCAAAAGTCACCCAGCTGGACCCGCAGCGCTGCCTCCTCCTGTTCAGCCGCTGTGTGAGTCACCGCGTCAGCTTCCTTCCTCCTGAGATCTACACCACCAGAAGCACTCCCACTCGCGGAGTGATCGGCGTGGGGGGAGGGGCGGGCAACTTCAAGGCTCTGCTGCCAGTTGCCCCGTCAATCCGTCCGCAGCCTGCTCTCTGCTGACAGCTGCCGCAACGCCAACAGCACTCTCACCGCCAGAAGCTGGCAGCAGAAACTTCAAGGCTGTGCTTGCAGCTGCCGCACCAAGGCTCTGCTCTGCCCTTCCCACCCGACGCAACTTCAAGGCTCGGCTGACAGCTGCCGCAGTGCCCTTCCCGCGGCACCGCCCAGAGCAAGAGCGGCTCTGTCTCCAAGGGGAGGGCAACTTCAAGGCTCTGCTGACCTGACAGCTGCCCCTTCGGCCCACCCACAGCCTGCTCTCTGCTGACAGCTGCCGCACTGCCCTTCCCGCGGCACCGCCCAGAGCAAGAGCGGATCTGCCCTTAAGGGGAGGGCAACTTCAAGGCTCTGCTGACTTGAGAGCTGCCCCGTCGGCCCACCCGCTGCCTGGTCTTTGCTGACAGCTGCCGCAATGTCCTTCTCGCGGCACTGCCCTTCCCACGGCACCGCCCAGAACAAGAGAGGCTCTAGGGATGAGCAGAGGCCGAACTCGAACAGGTTCGAGTTCGTCCTCTGTCGAACAGCTCGAACAGCCGAACCGAACACTGTTCGGTTCGGCGAACGATTTCCGCCGACACAAGTGTTCGCCATTCGCCTATGAAGGCGTGTTCGGGCGAACCTCGAACACGTTCGTGTTCGTTGCGGGGCAAATTGCAGCCGCGGCCCGAACACGAACATGTTCGGGCGAACCTCGAACACTGTTCGGCGAACCATTTAAGCCAAAAAAATAAACCTGTTCGGTTCGCCTCGAACGTGTTCGAGGCGAACCGAACAGGTGTTCCTCCCCTTGCTCATGTCTAAGAGGCTCTGCCTCCAAGCCTCACCCCCACCCACGCTGGGAGGCATCGGCATCACCGACCCGGCATCAGCGACCCGGCAGCAGCGGAGTGCAACTGTGCCTACTTGGCGCCAACGGTGGAGTGCAACGTCACCTACTACCTACGACGACCCTGGCCTACCTTCGCCTACCTGGCGTCAACGGCCACTACCTGCAGCACTCCCCACCTGCAGACCCAAAGTTGATATTCCTAGTCGTTTCTACCTGCACCCCTCCCCACCTGCAGCCCTCCCCACCTGCACCCCTCCCCACCTGCAGCCCTCCCCACCTGCACCCCTCCCCACCTGCAGCCCTCCCCACCTGCACCCCTCCCCACCTGCAGCCCTCCCCACCTGCAGCCCTCCCCACCTGCAGCCCTCCCCACCTGCAGCCCTCCCCACCTGCAGCCCTCCCCACCTGCAGCCCTCCCCACCTGCAGCCCTCCCCACCTGCAGCCCTCCCCACCTGCACCCCTCCCCACCTGCACCCCTCCCCACCTGCAGCCCTCCCCACCTGCATCCCTCCCCACCTGCAGCCCTCCCCACCTGCAGCCCTCCCCACCTGCAGCCATCCCCACCTGCAGCCCTCCCCACCTGCAGCCCTCCCCACCTGCAGCCCTCCCCACCTGCAGCCCTCCCCACCTGCAGCCCTCCCCACCTGCAGCCCTCCCCACCTGCAGCCCTCCCCACCTGCAGCCCTCCCCACCTGCAGCCCTCCCCACCTGCAGCCCTCCCCACCTGCAGCCCTCCCCACCTGCAGCCCTCCCCACCTGCAGCCCTCCCCACCTGCACCCCTCCCCACCTGCAGCCCTCCCCACCTGCAGCCCTCCCCACCTGCAGCCCTCCCCACCTGCAGCCCTCCCCACCTGCAGCCCTCCCCACCTGCAGCCCTCCCCACCTGCAGCCCTCCCCACCTGCAGCCCTCCCCACCTGCAGCCCTCCCCACGTGCAGCCCTCCCCACCTGCAGCCCTCCCCACCTGCAGCCCTCCCCACCTGCAGCCCTCCCCACCTGCAGCCCTCCCCACCTGCAGCCCTCCCCACCTGCAGCCCTCCCCACCTGCAGCCCTCCCCACCTGCAGCCCTCCCCACCTGCAGCCCTCCCCACCTGCAGCCCTCCCCACCTGCAGCCCTCCCCACCTGCAGCCCTCCCCACCTGCAGCCCTCCCCACCTGCAGCCCTCCCCACCTGCAGCCCTCCCCACCTGCAGCCCTCCCCACCTGCACCCCTCCCCACCTGCACCCCTCCCCACCTGCAGCCCTCCCCACCTGCATCCCTCCCCACCTGCAGCCCTCCCCACCTGCAGCCCTCCCCACCTGCAGCCATCCCCACCTGCAGCCCTCCCCACCTGCAGCCCTCCCCACCTGCAGCCCTCCCCACCTGCAGCCCTCCCCACCTGCAGCCCTCCCCACCTGCAGCCCTCCCCACCTGCAGCCCTCCCCACCTGCAGCCCTCCCCACCTGCAGCCCTCCCCACCTGCAGCCCTCCCCACCTGCAGCCCTCCCCACCTGCAGCCCTCCCCACCTGCAGCCCTCCCCACCTGCAGCCCTCCCCACCTGCAGCCCTCCCCACCTGCAGCCCTCCCCACCTGCAGCCCTCCCCACCTGCAGCCCTCCCCACCTGCAGCCCTCCCCACCTGCAGCCCTCCCCACCTGCAGCCCTCCCCACCTGCAGCCCTCCCCACCTGCAGCCCTCCCCACCTGCAGCCCTCCCCACGTGCAGCCCTCCCCACCTGCAGCCCTCCCCACCTGCAGCCCTCCCCACCTGCAGCCCTCCCCACCTGCAGCCCTCCCCACCTGCAGCCCTCCCCACCTGCAGCCCTCCCCACCTGCAGCCCTCCCCACCTGCAGCCCTCCCCACCTGCAGCCCTCCCCACCTGCAGCCCTCCCCACCTGCAGCCCTCCCCACCTGCAGCCCTCCCCACCTGCAGCCCTCCCCACCTGCAGCCCTCCCCACCTGCAGCCCTCCCCACCTGCAGCCCTCCCCACCTGCACCCCTCCCCACCTGCACCCCTCCCCACCTGCAGCCCTCCCCACCTGCATCCCTCCCCACCTGCAGCCCTCCCCACCTGCAGCCCTCCCCACCTGCAGCCATCCCCACCTGCAGCCCTCCCCACCTGCAGCCCTCCCCACCTGCAGCCCTCCCCACCTGCAGCCCTCCCCACCTGCAGCCCTCCCCACCTGCAGCCCTCCCCACCTGCAGCCCTCCCCACCTGCAGCCCTCCCCACCTGCAGCCCTCCCCACCTGCAGCCCTCCCCACCTGCAGCCCTCCCCACCTGCAGCCCTCCCCACCTGCAGCCCTCCCCACCTGCAGCCCTCCCCACCTGCAGCCCTCCCCACCTGCAGCCCTCCCCACCTGCAGCCCTCCCCACCTGCAGCCCTCCCCACCTGCATCCCTCCCCACCTGCACCCCTCCCCACCTGCAGCCCTCCCCACCTGCAGCCCTCCCCACCTGCAGCCCTCCTCACGCAGCTCGGAGACGCCCTCCACCCCTTATGAGCGATTTTTGAGAATTCTAGGGGCCCTCTCCCCTTCTTGAGCCTTGCCATGCCAAAGCTGAAGCCAAAGCTCCCTCCGAAGCTCCCTCCGAAGCTGGGGGGTATCCCCTGGGGTTACAACAACAACGAACTGAGCTAAACCCTGATTGGTCCGCATCCTTCTCCCGAAATTCCAGTTGCGGAAATTACCACTTTGCTTCAGTCGCGCGTGCTCTGAGGTAACCTGCGGGGCTGTTGGTGGGAACTTCAGGGTTACCCCCCGAGGGTGACCTGGGGGTAGTATCCCAAGCTTTCGAAGCGATTTTGGCCTTGATATTTTTGGAAAGTTCCCCACCACCATCACAAGTGCGGCACTCGCGGCACCTGTGACAGAGGTCTCGCCTGCACGCGACACCTACAGGTCTCGCCGTAGCAAAAGCAGACCTCCAAACGGTTCCCGCCGTACTGGTACTAGCATCACCTGTGCTACTAAATAAGGCTTTCTAGTACTACCAGCCGCATCACTACACCGGGCTGCGAGGAGGAAGGGATGTAGAAACTAGAGAGGCATTCCGGTACCTCACGATTTGCGCAGGCTGCGCTGGTAGTAGTAGTATTAGCGAAGTACCTTGTGTAGCGTTCAAATAGATCTCGATTTGCGCATGGCATGGGGCGATGAACGCAGGAAGCCAAAGCGCGGCGGAGAGTGCAAGCCATGCTCGCAGCTGCATCGTAGTTGGCTCTGGCAGCGGCATTTGCGGCACGACTGAGCTGTTTTGCTACTACAATTGCCATGGTGGTGACGTTAGGGCGCGTGTCTTTTGGTGTAGACTGTCAGAGATCGAGCCTAGTACCGCTTTGTAACGTAATGACTTGTCTCTCAAATGTATGCTACCGTGTACAACCTTTCTAGAAGTTCGAACTTTGGCAAAAGTTCGATCTGAAGGACACGCGCCCTAAGGAAGGTGGCGGAGGGAAAACGAGACGGGCGTGTCATTTTTCAAAATTGACTGTCCGGACGGCTGCCCGTCCGGATTTTTGTAACGGTTACGCAAGTCGTTGATATCCGTCGTTGACTCGCATGCAAAACGAAACTGGTTACCCAACAAATGACTCATTTTCTTGACTGATTTAGCTGCATATCCCGTGAGTCCCTTCACTTTCATTGTGTATCTCAAACACAATCTTTATCACGCACTCAGCTGATTCATTAATAACAGACATAGCAACCGGTATAGTGCCCAGTTTCCGGCAGTATACAGAATTCCTTTTTTTTAGCGGTAACTATTCAGTTTTCAACAGTCTATTGTACCATTTTAGCCAATCTCCATGGTGATAAAATTGTACACAGCCTTAACTGGTCATGGTGCTAAGCAAGCATTCCTGCCTTTCTGTGGCTGAGTATCATGTAGACAACCTAGAAAACCCCCTCATAATCTTCATACTGAAAAACTACACGTCATCTATGACTTCCACACAATTCCCCAAACCAGCTGCCATGCATCAGGACCTGCATCCGCCCGTCATAATCACAATTCTATATCCTGTCAATGTCTTCATCCTCGAATTCAATATAGTCATCACCGCCGTCTTCACCCTCTTCGTCCATGCCTCCGGCAATACCCTCGTTCAACCTGATATTGTCCGGCAATTCTCCATACGCCTTTAAGAGACGCGCCTCGTCCGGTTGATACTTCAGAATGACATCGGCTTTGTCGTCTTGATAATCTCGCAGCCCAACGAGGATAATATCTCCTGCAGCAATCCACACCTTCTTATGCATCTTGCCTCGGATGTGAGAGAGCCGCTTAACCCCGTCGATGCAAAGCGCCTCGCAGCGACCGTTCCCGAGCATACGCATCACCTGAGCGTATTCCTGCCCATCCTCCTTAAAAACCAGCTCGCGCTTCTCGTCATCGGCCTCGTTCTTTCCTCTCTTCCTGTTCTTACCTCCCTTACCCTTATTCTTCGGCATGGCTGCAGTAAGACCGAAATCCCTGATAGGATTTCAAGAAAAACGAACGGCGACAGACGAATCGCGCTGGCTTAGGACAGAGCCACTAGACGGAGGGACTAGCCCTTGCTGGTGGGTATCTGAGCCTAGCAGCGTTCAAAGAGAACCAAACCCTTGCTTCCTGTCGTGAAATCTCTCGTCACAAGCAACCACCACTCCGATCACCCCCCAAATAACTACAGTGAAAGCTATATAGGAAGTGAAGCAGATGGAACCCCGTTATTAACATGAACGAGTGGCTTTATAACGCGCTATGGTTCTTGCTCCTGCTCGATATAGTCTTCTTCAGTTTTTCCCGTATTGCTGGTCTAATTGGGCAAATGACTTCTATAAAATCTTGTGCCCAACCAAGCCAATCAAAGGTCTGCATTCTTCGTGGTTGAGATTCGCTGACAGGCAATCGACGGGCCTCGTTGGGGAGACCAGGAGGGGCGGTGGCGACGAACTTGGCTGCTTGAGGTGCGGGCGGAACTGGAACATGCCTTACGTAACTTCTCAAGGCTCGGCCCTGAGATGACCAAACCAAACCGCCGAGCCTCTATATGCCTGCACGCTTCATCAGATGGCACGTGTTCGTTTCTTCATCGGGTAGTCCGATTGGTTGACACGAACCTCGTGTCGCGTTCTTGTGAAATCCTTTGGCTATTCGAGAAGAACATCGCCACGTTTCGTGTGATTCAGATTGTGCTGTGCGTTTTTGTGCGAACCTAAGAGTTACAGTGAGTTTCAGAGCGGTAAAGCGTCAGCCCCTCGGCCCTCCTCCTCCCGTCGCGGCGCGACATTTCCCAGCCAGAACCTCCTCCTCCCTACAAAATCCGCCCCCTAGTCCGTCACGAAAATCGCCCCTGGTTGCTTCTTGATTGTCTTGTTCCTCGCCTGGTATAAACCAAAAGCGTTGCCTAGGGTTTTGAGCCCTTGCTCTTGCACACGCTGCGTGCAGCGCGAAGCACGCATTGTTGAGCTCGCGTGATGAGCCGAGGAATAATAACTCACTGTTCCCGCTTCGCTATCCTCGGTCCAGTGATTCATACAATCTCTCGCTCCTTCCCCCGCCAGGGTGGTGCGAGTTGTAGTATGCAAATACCTCGACAAACTAAAACATGGGAACGACAGCCCGTACTCCCAAGTCAGGAGCAGCGTGATTGTGCATGTGGCAATGAGGCCCAACGAACCGCGATATTTTGCTAGCGTCGACTAGACCTGTTTTCCGCCACGCAAACGCATTTCGAACAGCACGTCATACTCTTCATTTCAACGATGATGCATTTCGGCGGGTCTGTCTGGTAGTCAACCTCCTCAGAGGGCTTCTCCAGAATGCTTCTGCTGCGCGTCGATAGATAATTTAACACAGAGACTTGGTTGTGCAAGTCTTAGTAGCACCCGTCGCGAGTAGCACCACGATCAAACGTGATCGCACACGATTGCGATAGGTTGTGCGCTTGAGTTTGCCGACTCGCTGCCGACACGCTAAGCCCCCCCAGTTTTTCGCAGGCTTCCCACTGTAGTCGCAGGCTTCCCACTGTAGTCGCATGCTGTGATTTGGTTATCTCGTACTTGACAGTCGTAGCATTCTTCAGGCTTTCATTTCCAGCCAGCTTTCGCTCATCTCGCCATGGGCTGGTTACCCGACGGAAACGCCAGCTCCCCGCGCGACCCCTTCCATCAGCTCTCCCCTTCCGCCAAACCCTCCGCGCACTCCGCTTCCGCGCATGTCCTCTCCGCCTTCCGCTGCACGCTCCCCGCCATGGTGCTCGGCGCGCTTCTCTTCGTCAATCTCCTCCTTTTCTCCGCCAATCCCCGCCTCTGGCCCGCCTGCCCGCCCGACCGCGACGCGGTGGACGCGCTCGTGCTCGCGGGGCTACAGCCGGGCGGCGCTAGCGGCGGCGGCGGGCTACAGGCGGTAGGGGCGCTACAGCCGTCCGTGTCGGTTGTAGTGGAACGGCCGGCAGATGACGCGGGCGGTGCAGGCGGCGAGAGCGCCGCGGCGGGTGACGCGGCGGAGTGGTGGCGGGAAACAGACAGCGCGTATGCGCCTACTGGCGGAAACGGCGGCGGAACTCCCCGCCTGGCGTACGGCATTCTCGGCGCGAAAAACGACAGCTCGCGCGTCGTGCGCCTCTTACTCGCCATCTACCACCCGTTGAACCACTACGCCGTCCATATCGATGATCCCGAGGAAACTCTCGCGCTAAAGACAAAGATCGCCGCCCACCCCGCGCTGTCGAGGCGCGCGAATATTGTCGTGATTCCGGACCCCGAAGTAGTCACGTACCAGGGGTCGACGCTGCTGTCCGCGACGCTGCGCCTGGCGCATGTGCATATAGCGAGCGGCGCGCAGTGGGACTGGTTTATCAACCTGAGCGCCGCGGATTACCCGTTAATGTCACAAGATGGTGAGCGAATGAGAAACTTCGCTGATCCCCCTTCCCCCTCTTCTCCCCCGATCGCCGTTCGTTTCCACGTCCTCTACTGAACTGGTTGCAATTGACCGTCCGTGCTTCGCAATGGCGCCAACACGCTTTGTTCTTCCTTATCCACCCACAGAACGGACGAAAAAGATGACCTATTAGGATGTAAGCAAGGCGATCCCTTTTTTATAGTAGACTGGCTTCAGTCCTCGCTCTGCCACGGAGACGCGCTCTCCTGTCCCCTTCTCCTTGGGTGTTACAAAATCTCACCCCCACTCATCCTCTTTCTCCTACCTCCCTCACACTCTCTCTCCTCACCCCCCTCTCCCTCACTCTCCCCGTTTTCATACATGCTGTATCTGTTCTCGCACCTCCCTCACTCTCCCCCTTACCCTCCTCGCCCCTCTCGCCCGCTCTGCGCGGAGACATGCTGTATCTCGTTTTCGCACTTGGATCACTCAAAATGCTTCACTCCTCACCCTCATCCCCTTCATCCTCACGCTTACCCCCCTACTCTGCAGACATGCTGTACCTCTTTTCTCACGTGGATCGCAGCCTCTCCTTTATGGACCACAGCGTTGAGCACCGATTCGAGTGAGTCGGTATAGTCGTCCGTCTACGTTATGGCCACACGCGTTTACTCGTCTGATTTCACGGGCCGTTAACTTCATCTTACACATCGTCACTGTCACATTATATATTCAGAATGCAACGGACCGCCATTCGCGTTTTCCCAGCCTCGCCTTCCCCTCCCTGATCTTCCCTCTTGCTTCTCTCGGTTCTGTAACGTCACTTGAAGAATGCATGCCTTGCTTCTCAAAGGCCGCGCTCCCTACGTCGGCCCAAGTGGCTTTTCAGGTGACTACGAAAACGCCACCTATGTCTCTGAATGCACCTGTCTTGATCCAGCATGCAACGAACCTGGACAGTGCCTTGCCACATGTGCGAGCAGGCACATACAATTTCCATTGCGTTCTTCTGCCGTTCCCTTTCCCCAGCTGCCCGACACCCCCTACGCTCGTTCCCCCCTCTCTCCCATACCCCCCAGCTACCGACAGCGTGCAGTGAATCTGGACAGGGCGCTCTTCCGCATCTCTGTCCGCATCCCTGTCCGCATCTCTGTCCGCATCTCTGTCCGCATCTCTATCCGCATCTCTGTCCGCATCTCTATCCGCATCTCTGTCCGCATCTCTATCCGCATCTCTATCCGCATCTCTGTCCGCATTTTCTGTCCGCATCTCTATCCGCATCTCTGTCCGCATCTCTATCCGCATCTCTATCCGCATCTCTATCCGCATCTCTGTCCGCATCTCTGTCCGCATCTCTATCCGCATCTCTATCCGCATCTCTGTCCGCATCTCTATCCGCATCTCTATCCGCATCTCTATCCGCATCTCTATCCGCATCTCTGTCCGCATCTCTATCCGCATCTCTATCCGCATCTCTGTCCGCATCTCTGTCCGCATCTCTGTCCGCATCCCTGTCCGCATCTCTATCCGCATCTCTGTCCGCCAGCTACCGCCTATGTGCCGTGAATCTGGACAGGGAGTTGTTCCTTCCCAACCCTTACTCAATTTCCCGTACCACCCCTCTCTGCCCGCCAGCTACCGGCAGCATGCAGTGAATCTGGACAGGGCGCTCTTTCATGCGCATCCAGGGCATACGTTCCCCCTACTCCTTCCCCACCCCACCCCCACCTCCACAAACCCCTCTTTCCCTCCCCTCCCAGCTACCGGCAGCGCGCAGTGAATCTGGACAGGGCGCTGTTCCAGGCGCACAACACAAGCTCCCCCTACTCCTTCCTCACCCCGCCCCCCCACAACCCCCCACTTTCCCAACCCCCGCTTCTGCCCTCCAGCTACCGCCAGCGTGCAGTGAATCTGGACAGGGCGCTGTTCCAGGCGCACAGAGGGCACAAGCTCATGCGGGACGTGCGACCTGCTGCCACCCGGTTTCACGTCTTCATGGGTGAGTCGCCCTGTGTTGACCTGTGTTGACCCGTGTTGACTCAAGTTGACTTGTTGGCTCGTGTTGACTTGAAGGCACAAGCTCATGCGGGACGTGCGAACCGCTGCCACTCGCTTCCATGTTTTCATGGGTGAGTAGATTTGTGCTGACCTGTGTTGACTTGAGTTGACTTGAGTTGACCTGAGTTTGACTCGAGTTGACTTCAAGGCACAAGCGCATGCGGGACTTGCTCTTGTGCCCCCCTTTTCCTCCTCTCCATTCGCACCTCTCCACGCTGCAACTGGATCAAAGCGTCTCGCCCCTTCCTGCTGCTTCGTGACTTTGCCATCTCTCCTTCCCCTCCACTCCCCTCCCCTCGCCCCTCCCCTCTTCCCCCTTCCTCTTCCCCCCTCCCCTCCATCCGCCTGCAAAAATTGGATCAAGGCCTCGCGTCCCTTCCTGCGCTACGTCCTATGGGAACCCGCCAGCTGAACCCTCTGCTGCGCATTCCCTTCCCCTCCTCTGCCCCCTTCCCCCTCCCCTCCTCTGCCGCCTACCACACCTCTCCAGGCTGCAACAGGATCAAGGCCTCTCGTCCTTTCCTGCGCTGTCCTATGGGAGCCCACCGCTTAGATTCTCTGCTGCACCCTTCAACCTCTTCTCCCTTCTCTTCCCTCCGTTCCCTCCCTCTCCTCCAGGTTGCAACTGGATAAAAGCCTCGCGCCCCTTCCTGCGCTATGCCACTTCCTCGCGTCCTGCACCACTTGATTTCTCTGCTGCACCTTCCAACCCCCCTCCCTCACTTCACTTCCCCTTTCCCCCTCCCCCTCCCCACTCCCCCTCCCTCCCATCCCTCTCCTCCAGGCTGCAACTGGATCAGTGGGCTGAGTGTTAATGGGTATTCCGCTGCGCCAAACAACACCCTCGTTTTGACCCAGTGGGTAGCGAGGTGTTATACTGGTTTCAGAGCCTAGGGTTCAAATCCTGGCTGATCCACATTTTCCGCCTGTGGCGAGAACTTGAATGTGGTTACCAGATTGAACCCAGCGAACGATCCTCTGTTGGCCTGGTCCACCAGCGAAGTCGCTGCTTGGAGCACAGCGAATAGGTCCCTGCGGGGGCCGACTCCCTGAAGTTCGTCAACGAGGACGTTGACACCAGGGGGGGACGAGTGTAACGCCTGTGGGCTGAGTGTTAATGGGCATTCCGCTGCGCCAAATAACACCCTCGTTTTGACCCAGTGGGTAGCGAGGTGTTATAATCAAGGCCTCGCGCCCCTTCTTGCGCTACGCCCTATGGGAGCCCGCCAGCTGAACCCTCCCCTTCCCCTCTTCTCGCACAGGAGCCCACCTCTCGTCCCTCATCCGCCAAGTCCTATGGGAGCCCGCCAGCTGAACCCTCTGCTGCGCATCCCCCCCCAAACACTCCCTTCCCTCTTTCCTCCCCTCCCTTCCTCTCCAGGCTGCAACTGGATCAAGGCCTCTCGCCCCTTCCTGCGCTACGTCCTATGGGAGCCCGCCAGCTGGCCGCGCCGCATCCTCATGTACATGGCTGACGTCATCGACTCAGACGAGCACTACTTCAGCACCGTGGCCTGCCAGACAGCCCGTTTTAACCGCTCTCTCCTGAATGCGAGCCTGCACTTCGCCACGTTCGCTAAAGGCAGCCCGGTACGTACCCGGGGTACCTGCCACCATGTTGACTCGGACCAGCACTACTTCTCCACCGTCCCTTTGGGTTTCTTGGAAAAGCAGCCCAGTGAGTATTCGTGTATGCGTCCCTTTTTAAAGTGGGACCCACGTGGAAGTTGTGTTGTGTTGTGTAAAGGCAGCCCGGTACGTTCCTGGTGGGGGTATGATAGTGGTAGTGGCAGTGTCGACTCAGACGAGCACCGTCGCCTGCCACTCGCCCCGCTTTCAACCATCGTTGCACTTCGCCACGTTTGCCAAGGCCAGCCCGGTATGTTTGTTCCACATTCCCTCTTTGACTGCTTGGTTACCTGGGATGTCAAAGGTCAATGCGTTACTGATGACTGCTTGGTTGCCTGGTAATCCGTCCTCCTTACCGCCAGCCTGCACTTGGCCTGCACAGCCTGCACTTCACCAAGTGTGCTGCACAATTGCGATTACTTGTCGTCAACTTTCTTTCGCCTGACATTCCAGACAGCCCCGTCTTACCCTGACAGCGTGTTCTTCCTGTAACTTCTCCTTCCCCCCCTTCTCCACTCTCACTTCCTGCTTCCTCTGTTCCCCCCTCCCTCCTGCCCGTACGCTCTTGAAATGACCTCCCAGCCACCTGTGAGGTCCTCTCGTCACCCACTCCTCTCTCTTACTCCCCACCCAGCAGCTCCTGCCTTTCGCACCCACTCCTTCACCAGTGCGTCTTGAGTCGACGCAGAAGTTCCTTTCCCCCCCTCTTGTCCCTCCCGTCTCCACCCTTCCCTTCCCCTCCCCTCCCCTTCTCCCCTCACTGCAGCACTACTTTGACTCCCTCTTCTACGATACCTCCACCAATGCGCCCCGCTACAACCGCTCTCCCTCCCCTCCTCCCCTTTCCTCTCCCCTCCCCTCACTGCGGCATTCCCTCGAAATGAACGTCTCCTTCTACCATGCCTTCACCAGTGCGCCCCCATTCAACCGCTGTTCTCCTCCCCGCCCCTCCCCCCCTCCCCACCCACCCCTCCCCACCCCTCCCGTCCTCTTCCCCCTCTTCCCCTCCCCTCACTGCAGCATTCCCTCGAGATGAACGACTCCTTCCATGCCAGTGGTGTCCCCCTCCTTAAACCGCTCTTTCTCCACCCTTCCTCACCCCTCCCCACCCCTCCCCACCCCTTCCCTCCCCTTCCCGCCTCTCCCTTCCCCCCATGGAAGCACTCCCTCGAGATGAACGACTTGTTCTATGATGCCTTCACCAGTGCCTCCTCCCCTTTTCTCTCCACTCCCTCCTCTCTCCCCCTCCTCCCCCATGGCAGCACTCCCTCGAGATGAACGACTCATTCTACGACGCATTCACCAGTGCTGTTCTGAGTCGACTCAGATGCCCCTCCCCTCCCCTCCCACCCACCCCCTGCTTTTCCCTCGGCTCCCCCTTCCCCACCCCCTCATCACAGCACTCCCTAGAGATGAGCGACTCGTTCTACGAGGCATTCACACATGTGCCACGCTTCAATCACTCTCTCTCCTCCCCTCCCCCCGCCCCTTTCCTCACTGCAGCACTCCCTCGAGATGAACGACTCCTTCGATGATGCCTTCACCAGTGCAACCGCTCTTTCTCCACCCCTCCCCACCCTTCCGCACCCCTCCCTGCCTCTCCTTCCTCCGCCCCATTCCCTCCAATCCAATGCAGCACTCCCTTGAGATGAACGACTCCTTCTATGATGCATTCACCCGTGCACCCCCCTCCTCCACTTTCTCCACCCTTCCTCACCCCTCCCCACCCCTCCCCCCCTCTCCATCCTTCCCCCCATCCATTCCCTCCACTGCAGCACTCCCTGGAGATGAACGACTCATTCTACGATGCATTCACCAGTGGCGTCTTCCTCTTTGCTCTTGACTCTTCCTCTCCCCTCCGCTTCCCTCTATTCTCCTCTCATCACAGCACTCCCTTGATGTGAACGACTCTTGCTATGATGCCTCCATCAGTGCATCCCCCTTCAACTGCTCTTTCTCCACCCTTCCTCACCCCTCCCCACCCCTTCCCGCCTCTCCCTCCTCCCCCCCACCCCTTATCACAGCACTCCCTCGAGATGAACGACTCGTTCTACGATGCCTTCACCAGTGGCGTGTTCCTCTTTGCCAGGAAGTTTCCTCGCGACTCACCGACGCTGGATAGGATCGACAGGTACGAGACCAAGTGGAGCAAGGAAATCCGGTCAAAAAAAGTCAACCCAGTAATTTCATTCAACCCACTCATCTCAGTCAACCATGTCGTCCTACTCAACCAAGTCAAAAGTCAACTGAGTCAACCTGATGAACTATGTCAATCAAGCACCCAGTCAACCAAGTCAACCAAGCACCCAGTCAATCGTAGTGAATCAAAAGGTACTGTAAATGCCGTGTTGACTAGATTCGACCCTTCAAGTACATACCTCAAGGCTCTCCAAGCTAATCATCACAGGGAGCTTCAAACCCTCCCCATCACAGGTCAAGCAAGTCAAGCAAGGGAATCCGGTCAGTCAAGAAAGGTCAACCTACTCATCTCAGTCAACCCACTCATCTCAGTCAACCCACTCATCTCAGTCAACCATGTCCACTAAACCAAGTCAACAGAGTCAATTGAGTCAACCTGATGAACTATGTCAACCAAGTCAACCCAGTCAACCACGCACCCAGTAAAACGTATTCAATCAAAAGGTACTGTAAACACCGCCTTGACTAGATCGGACACTCCAAGTACATACCTCAAGACGCTCTCTCCAAAATAATCATCACATTCAGACAGTTCAAGTGAAACGGAGTCTTGAGAATGAGATGAGTTACCGTAGATCGGACCCTCCAAGTACATACCTCAAGACTCTCTCCCCAAGCTAATTATCACAAGGAGCTACGCCATTGGTCATCTCTATCCCTCCTCTGTCTAGTTCAGGTACCGCTGTAGGTTCAGGGAACTCCTGTGTTGACTAGATCGGACCCTCCAAGTACATACCTCAAGACTCTCTCTCCAAGCTAAGGAGCTACGCCATTGGTCATCTCTATCCCTCCTCTGTCTAGTTCAGGTACCGCTGTAGGTTCAGGGAACTCCAGTGTTGACTAGATCGGACCCTCCAAGTACATACCTCAAGACTCTCTCTCCAAGCTAAGGAGCTACGCCATTGGTCATCTCTATCCCTCCTCTGCCTAGTTCAGGTGCTGTAGGTTCAGGGAACTCCAGTGTTGACTAGATCGGACCCTCCAAGTACATACCTCAAGACTCTCTCTCCAAGCTAAGGAGCTACGCCATTGGTCATCTCTATCCCTCCTCTGTCTAGTTCAGGTACCGCTGTAGGTTCAGGGAACTCCAGTGTTGACTAGATCGGACCCTCCAAGTACATACCTCAAGACTCTCTCTCCAA